TGGTTTAATTCAGTTTAAAGGGCTAATGCGTGGTAAAGGGCTAATGCGTGCGTTCAAAACAAGACCTGTTCCTGACCCATCGCCATGCCGTTCTGCAAGTCAAGTGCTAAGTATTCACTTGAAGGTCTAACGCATTTCTGAACACCACTGAAACTGATGTTCCTTCGCCGGAACTTTGAGTCTAAGTGTCAACCCCTGCTTCAAAGGACCTCACACAAAAAAAGGACCTCACACAAAACAATACAGCAGGGGGCGACAGAGTCGCTGCATGGCTGTTGCCAGCGAAGCTCCATGCAGGTGACTATAGTGACTAGGATATCACGGCTGATCACCGTGACGTAATTTTGCACAATTGCAACGCAAACTACATTGTTGGAGACTCTTTCACCTCGTGGTTTGCACAGGGCCATTTTCCAGGTTTTGACAGGTCTTCTACTGCAGTCATGTAAGGTTCTAATGCACTTCGGAAACAACTGCTGTTACAAGCTCTTATTCCAAGTGTGATTCGCAGCATCGTCCCATTGTGGTGTGGTGTGTGAACCCATTTTGGAGCGCCAAATTCACAGTTACTCTCAAGAGAGGAAACTCACTGAAACTTCATCGAGTTTTCTTGATCTTGTCTGAAGCTCGGTCAATTATGCCTCGAGAATGCCGATCCATGGCGGAGGGCCTCCTGAAATACTCCCTGAAACCTTCCAGTCCACACGCATTGCTGTTCAGTCAAACTATTCCGTCCGGTTGCGTTTCTCTTCTCTGCTTTTTCTCTCTTCCTAGAGGCTTGTTAGGTGTGTGTTTCCCGACACACCTTTCCATATGGAACACACCTAGTATGACACTCCTGCTCGGAACCAGTCACCTTTCTTCCTTCCGGCCGCATTTCTCTTTTCTGCTTTCTTCTCTTTTTCGAAAGGCTTGTTAGGTTGTAACCGAGGTCTCGAGCTGTGATCATCTTTTGCGTGTGCTGGACAAACGGCTTCGTGTCTGTGTGCCTCACACAAAACAATACAGCAGGGGGGGACAGAGTTGCTGCATGGCTGTCGCCAACGAAGCTCCATGCAGGTGACTATAGTGACTAGGATATCACGGCTGATCACCGTGACGTACCTGCCGTTTTGAACCACCAGTGATGCAAACTACATTGTTGCAGACTCTTTCACCTCGTGGTTTGCACAGGGCAGTTTTTCCAGGTTTTGACAGGTCGTCTACTTCAGTATGCACTCCGGAAACAACTGCTCTTGCGAGCTCTTATTCTAAGTGTGTGTGTGTGTGTGCGCGTGTCGGTTGATGTCGAAAGGCGTTCACACACAAAACAGCAAGTGCTGAAAACCAAGCACTACAACAATGACTCACAGATTCACAACGCCAAATGAACATCCATGTTTTGCTTGCAAGCTCTTACGTCCTTGCTGAGGCCATTCAGGATGTCCGCAAGAGCTTGGGGCTTTACACCCCGGAGGATTGGCACCAAAACACGAGCATCCACCTTGCAGGGGTGACTTGTTGTCGACACACGGGTTTGTTTCAGAGAAAGCCAGCTAGTGGTGGGAAAATAGATCAATTAGAAGTGCTGCCTATTCTTTTCTCCCCCCTTTGGCACAGTGCCATAGACCCAAATGTCAAAGCATGTTGCAAAACTGCCTGGTTCACCACCATGGCCATGCGCTCTGGCTCCTTGACCAAGCCTGCGAATCGCTTGTTTCGACACGGTAAAGCCTTCAAGGCGCCCTGAAGACCGGCCTAGCAAGGGCACCAGGGTCTCTGCTAACAGCTCATCAGGTTCCTGGCTCCCAGAATCTCAGATTTCAAAGGAGTGGGAGAAAGCCCGACCAATAATGTTTAAGGCTTCTGCCTAAGCTGCAACGGAAAGGGGTGCGGAATTTCCCAACTCCTTTGGAAGAATCTCTCCTCACGTCTCCTCATGTTGACACCAACGTGCACGTGGCAACCTACACGACCAGCCCAGCAGCTGGTCCTGCAGCACCGGCACCAAGACCTCCTCTGCACTACCGGGGGTCATGGCAGCCACTGCCGGCACCAGCACCTTGCCCGTGGAAGGGTCCCAGCGCATTCTCTGGGGCTTCTCGTGAAGACTGGTTGTCACTGAGTGTCAGAGCGTCTGAAAGCTATGAGACTATGTTGGGTAAACCCTGACCCTTTCAAATGGCCAAGGCCTTCAATGTCAAAGGGTTTGGAAAGAAAGGTTCAGGCAGCTCACTTGTTTGTACGTGCCGTCCCACCAGATCTTTGCACGCGCGCCACCAGAACAAAGGAAGCCGAAAATTGGCATGGCACGACGCAAGCCCCAAATGGTTTGTGTGTCACTGGCTGGCGTCTTTGGAGGCACACCCAGATCAAGGTCGTTTCTGGTTTTCTCGGTTTTCTGTCGGCACCTCCACCGGCGCTTTCAGCACGATGGAGAGCTTTCCTTTGGGTGCACGGTTCAGCACCACCAGCATGGCAGCTGAGGCGCCCAAACTCATCAGCATGGCACTTACCTGCGGCAAGAGCTGGACTTTTGTTTTTTTGCCCGACCCCCCCTCCCTACTTAATTAAGTAGGCGCCTACATAATTCAGTAAGGGGGAGGTAGCTACTAAGAGGTAGCTACTACCTGCAAGTAGCTACTACTTAGGATGCAGGATGCAGGATAGTTCACGCTTCTAATGATTTGGTTCCTAGATTTTTGGGGGAAGCTTAGGTTTTGAGGGTCCGGAAGAACTGATTTTCCATGAGCATGGCAGTGACCTGCGGCAAGAGCTGGACATCCTCGAGGAGAGGGACTAAGACATCGATGAACTGTCGATAGCTCACCTGGAGGATCGAAATCGGATCTCAGGTAAAAGCATGGGAAATTCAAGAATGTCCTCACTGCAATTCTCACGGTGCCCGGTCCGGACAGCTTCCTTTTCTGATTCAGCTTCTTTGGATTTCTGCAGGCATCTTGTGCTTGATGATGGAAACAACATGTGATCGTCACAAAAGAGCGGTCCGGCCTCGCGGAAAAATACCGGCAGCATGCTCTGCATTGTTTCTTTGGGCACGCTGCCGCAAAGCTGCTGCAAGACACTGCTGTTCGCACTGCGCATTCGAGAAGAAGGGACAAAGGAGAGGAGCGAGGAGCAGTGCGCATGGGAATCGTTTCACCTGTAGTAACAAGAAGCTTTTACTATAGCATGTCTTTGAAGCTTCTTAGTAACCCCTTGTTGCATGTGAGGTTACCTCTAGAGACTCTCTTAGCTGTCTTAGCCTCGTCTGCGTCAGTCTGGAAGGGATGTGGGGAGGGAAAATCCATTATGGCGCCAGCCCCAAGAAGCAAGTCCCTCTCCTGACATGTCACCTGGGAGTGTCTCACAATGGATAAATTGAATATTTGCCCAGCTTATTATATAGGGATTCGTGAACAACTCAGACCCACATCTCCAGCCTCCACAACATGGCCAAGCTTTTGCCTGGGTGACATAGGGTGGTGCGGCTCACCTTGGTGCTGCTGAGATTCATTTGGCGCAGTTTCAGGAGAACCTCAGGAGGCATATTTGAAAGTACATGTTGTACTTTGTTCTGCGGCATGTCTTTCAAGGTAGGGTCTGCCCCTTCGTGAGGAAGAAACGGCCTTATTACATCTTATAACAGCAAAAAGTACTCCCCAAAGCAGTTGTGGCAAAGCCCATTGCTTATCTCACGTTAACAAATGTGGACAGTACAATAGGTAAGGCAAACCTATATGTACCAAAACAATGTTTGAAGTGAGAGCCTCAGGGTGCACGGAGAGCCTGATTCGTTCGGAGGCTGCATCCAAGACACCAGCTCAGGATGTGCTCCCAACAGCTTCAGCACACCGCAGCAACAGCAATCCATCCGCTGCGTAGCTTTAGATCGGGAAGGTCGCACGCCTTTGGTTGAAAAACTTTGGCTGTTTGTGAACGGGAAAAAACAGTATAGAACCTTAAAGAATATGTCATTTCATGAGTCATCTTCTGATTCAAGCGATTGATTGGGGCTGCTCATGTGCACGCGATTAAATTTACAGCTATATAGATTCTAATGTCTGTCCGAACTGAGAGAACTGGGAAATGAGGGAATTAATAATTGGAAAGAAGCCAAGCAACAACAAACTCAACAGCTGCATTTATATGAAACGCCCTTTGTATCCTTCTCGGAATTGACGTCCAGTGAACAAATACGGTTGGGCCAGATGGCTGCTTTCAGGCTTCGTCTTGGCAAAAATGCACAAGCATCATGGCCATGTTCTAGGATCCTTCTAGTTTTGTGGCTCCACGTGTGAATCCTGAAAAGGGCATCGCTACTAGGAACAAGAACGCTACTAGGGGCTCCTGGCATCGCTACTAGGAGCAAGAAGCTACTAGGATGCATTCCTTCAAAGGACCCATAAAAAGCGGCACAGTCAGTTTTGAATCCGCCGAGATGCGCTGTACAAATGTACGTTCTCCAAAAGGCAGACCTCACTGTTGGACATGCGTCCCTTGTTGGACAAAGCGTCCCTTGTTGCAGCTGTCCAAGAGAATGTCTGGAAATTCAGCCAAACTCGGACGCTGAGAAGGCCTCGACCTGCTGGAAAGGGGGAGGCAGGTTGATAAAATTGTGTGGTCACCAAATGTTGGCAAGCAAACGTCTGCAAGAGACTAATTTCTGGAAAATGAGCTGATCGGCACAAAAGCAGATTCTGCACCGTCAGTGCCTTCACACATGCCCATCCCCGTATGACCAGGATCCAATATGCTTTGAAATGCCAACATCTATGGTCCAAGCTTTGTACATCCTCTCTTCTACTGCCAAATGATTGCTACTTCAGTTCATCAGGCGCCGCACGCGCTCGTTCTGCAATGCACTGTACCATCTGTGGATATCCCGCTATGATGGCACCGTCCTCAGTGTCTCGCGTGGAGCATTTGCTGGTTGCCAGCTGGTCAGCTGAACATGTTCAGGTGCTGCCCAGATTCCGGAAGTTTCACTTTGCGGGGTTCACGGGTCACACGGAGAACCTCCTGTGAGCAACAAGCCATTGGAGAGTTCAAAGGTTGAGGTTTTCACACACCCTCACCTCACAATCATGGGAAATCCATGGAAATCCCGGTCTCAGAGTATGGCAGAAGGTGCCTGTACAACCAAAGGGCTCCTCCAGTCTCATTGACTCCACGGAAACGGACAAGTAGCGCTCCGCCAAGACACTGCCGTCCGCACGCTCTGCGAGGAAGAGGCATTCCACCTGGCACCGTCTCGGGCAGACTCAACTGACCAAAAACGGTCTCCTTCCGAAAAAGGCAGCGACTCTGGCAAAAATGCTCTGTGCTTGTCATTCCCTTGTCATTATCTTGGAGATGTGAAGTCTCTACTACTGCCAGTGTTTACAATCTGCAGTTGCAGACTGTTTGCCTGTCAATACTTCACTGGCAAATCTTCAGTCACATCGCCTCCTCCCCCAGTTCTGTATGGCGGCGTTGCTTCCGCACGCGCACTGGTGGCCACGTTTGGCCAGAGGGGGCCAGTTCCTGTTTGTGGCAAAATGGCGAGACATGTTGAAACACTGAGAAATATATAACTCCATCTATCTGAGAACCACTACATATCTTCACAAAGAGACACCAATTCCGACAAATTATTCAGCATTCAACACAAAACGGAAATGTAAAGGTTGGTGAGAGCTGGAACCCAGTGGCATCTTTCCACTTCAAGTTTACAGGTAGTCTTTTTGGCTCAGCAGTGTCCTCGGGGTCAACACCCAACTGATGCGCGCAGCTTTCAACGTCCAGCTGTCCATCGGCCGTCAGGCAGCCTAGCGTGTGCACGAGTGCGCGAGCTCGCGCGAGCTCGCGCGAGCTACCCTCAACAGGCGCAGATCAGCCAACTCCAACCCCCGCAGATCAGCCTTGATGAATGCTCTTGCTCCACAGCTCGGCGGCCGCCGTTTCACCTATCTGTTGCCGCCGTTTCACCTCCAGCCCGCCTCTGCCATTCCCTGGGCAATTCCACCGACGGTTGCGACGGGTTGGAATAGATGGGAAATAGACATGATTGCCGGTATGCCCCGGCCAAAGCCCACTATTTTCCCACAGAGAAGCCAGTCATTGGGACTTTGCAAGTGTGACCTGCAGGATTGACAAAAGCTAGGTGCATTTTGAACAAGCAACATACTCTCGGCCAATGGATGAAGAGCCTGTGCCTCATTTTGTGAGCTTGCAAAACCGTGAAAAACACATTCTCTCAGTTGCGGGGGCGCACTGCGAAGGATGCACTGACCTTTTGAGGAAAAAGCATTCCCCCTGTGACACCTGAAAATAGGTGGAACTGCCGATTCCATCTTGCGCCAGGCAGTCAGGGCACGCAACTTCAGACCCAGGCTGTCTCCTGGGTTGTTTTGACTTGGACTCCGTGGCGGCACGTGATGCTTGGGTGGATCCACACAAACAAGGGCTGATTGTATGGCCTTCGTATCCATCATCAGCTCATCTCATGATCATATAATATCTGATTATATTCTCCCTTGTTTTCCCATCTTTCCAGATTGGTTTAATTACTGAAAACGGCTGAAAACTGAATATCCCAAGCTCTCTCCTGCTGGGAAATACAGATCTTCCCGTTTACCCTCCAGCGGCAAAGGCCCCTCGGGCAGCGGAAGTTTGACAAAATAGCGCCACTCCCATACACCGAAGGCCATGCCAAAGCCCCAGCCCAGAGCACTATAGGCGATGCCCATCTAGCGGGAGAAAGAATATGCTTCTTGACATGCGTCAAGCTGGAGTTTCACTGGACCATTTACATATTATATATATATTATAGAGTAGAGAGAGAGAGAGAGGGTTATTATTTGCTTCAACCACTAAGGCTTGACTAAGGCCAACAAGACAGGGAATAAGAGAATACTGGTATGTTGCTAAAACGCACTGGTTGACAAGGTTCTTGCTAAACCTGAGCTCTCGCTCACCCAGTTTCTGCCATGCGCACGAAATAAACATCTTCATGGTCTGCGGACAGCTTGAGCCTTCGCTGCCAATCGAAGCAATGCAGTCAAAGCATTCGAAGGGCTTTGGATAGAAGCATGGTGGGTCAGAAAGGGAATGGATCCTGCCAGATGTGATGTTCGGTCCACACAAGCTATGAGGTGGCTTGCTTGCGGATGAATGGCCGCCACGCTTGGTGCCCAGCTTGGAAGGCCAGGCCACAGCTGAAGGTTATGGACAGGAGGCGCGTGGGTGGCGCCTCGAAAGTCAAGGGTCCGTGGCCGAAGACTCCGTGGCCGTGAGACTCCATGAGTGCCATTTGTCCGACAAGAGAGCCAATTAAAAAAGATAGAAGACCATCCTATGCTGGTGAATGGCACTATGCTGGTAATGCTGCTCCGCTTCTGGGTCTTCGACCCAAAACCCCTTCATGGCCAAGAGATTGGGCAACAGCAAATTCCCCAACCTTGGTGAACTGGGAGCGGAAAATTGGCGGTCTGCCTCTCTTCAGTCACGAGAGTCATTAATGTAACACGGTACCAGATCTGACAAAGTCGATTTGTCTATCATTCTGCCAATGAGTGCAACATGAAATAGCTTGAACGGTATGAATTTTGTCAGACACTTATGAGAAAGACAAAAGATTTGAGGAGAAAAAGAACTTTGGAGAACCGTTACGGTTCTCTGTAAACTGAAACCCCTGGTATTCCTTTAGTCGACTGTCGAAGCGACCCAAAATCTGGGCATCCAACGAAGCTGTGAGGAAGGCTTGGGGCCTTGGTGTCCAGCCGCATCACAAAGCTCATTTGAAGAGGATCTTTGGTGGCAAAGGTTCATGACCTCCATGGATGCCAACACAATCATTCTCCTTTTTGCCTACCACGGGTGATTACATTATTTAGAAACAACCACAGGCGAAGCTTCCACCCTTTTTGCTCTGTTTTGTCCGTTGCAAAGGGTGCTCCCCATAGCTCGCTATGGGCCTCAGCAGCTCCCTTCACAGGTGGATGGTGAAGGTCTCCAAATGGTTTTCACAAATCAAGGCCTTGATTTCTCGGGCCGCCTTCACCAAAAAAATAATTGCTTTCTCGGATCCTCCACTGCAGAATTGATCTCCAGGATAGAAGTCTCTTGTTTTCCAGTCAAGGTGATTCCAGTCGCAGGACATCTTTCAATGTGGGGAGTTGACCCATGGACACGTCGCAGGATCCACTTCAGAGTCTCTGGTTCGAGTCCATAGAACCACTGAACGCAGCATTGGAGTGTCCTTTCTCCAACATATTGGATCTTGAACCAGTCAAACATTTGGCCATGCATACATAATTCCGTGCAGTGCTTGGGCGAAGAGTGCAGTCACCCGCTATACTGCATTCTGCTCAATGATGACAACCTTGCACCATGCGCCTCTTTCACCAGGCATTGTCAATGCCATCCAGTGCTTGTTCCTGACAAGGCTAGTGAGTGACCAGTGACAATGATAAAACGATATATATATATATAAAGTCTAAAGTATTGGAAAACATTGCCTGCTCACAGGCAGGTCCGGTGATTCATCAAATGACTAAGCAGAGGGCTGACTTGTTTACTGAACTGACAGACAGGTTCCTTTTATTAGAACACCGTGTCTACATACATAATTGTTGGCCTGAAATTCTGATACAGCTGTGCTGCTATGGGATGGTCGTGAGACGAAGAAGTACCCCATGAAGAGGTGGAGGTTTTCAGTCTCCGCCAGCAGATCATGACTGCATCTTTGGAGTGACAAATGGCTGTTGATGTTCCTGCTGAAGCAAGCCCATTTCGGTTGAGACTTCCCGCAATTGAACTCAAAAGTCGACATTAGATGAGCCGAAACCGTTTGGGGTAGAGGAAGAAATAGGAGCAAATGGCATCGCTACTCGGAGGAAGGGCGCTACTAGGGGCTCCTGGCCTTACTACTAGGAACAAGAAACTAGCATCGCTACTAGGAGCAAGACGCTACTCTGTCTTCATGGGGTACCTTCATTTTCACACAAACCAAAAAAGCAGTTGTCTACTGTCAGCCTCCGGCCTCCAGCAGCAATGGAACTCGGCCCAGAACAGGATCTAAGCGGCCTTGCGGCAGGTGCTGCCCACAGGACCTGCTCACATTGACCGATCATGGTTCATTAAGGTTGGGTCTTGCAAAAAAAACACAGCAGGAAGGAATTCGTTCTTTTTGGTTACTGACTGCAAACAAAGCCCTACTCAACATAGACCTGACGAAGCCATGGCTTGTTGCTAGTTAAGCCGTTGACCAATCCAAAGAATCTACCAGTAAACTATTCTGGTTGAAGATCTTCACTATCTATATGTACAAACAAATTAGGCAGAAATGATGAGAAGTGGGTATTTCTGGTCAGCCTCCTTGTGTTAGCACAATTTGGTGCAGTCTCAAATTGCGTGGCAGTTTTTGCCCCAAAAGTAGTATGTTTTCATCCTGCAATGAAATTGTTCATGGTCTAAGTGACTGTTTGATTGTACATGTTATATAAATATATTACTATATATATATATATGCAAGATTATACAAGTGTGTGTTTTTAGGTCGTGAAGTTTCAGCACCAGGGAACTTTGGCTTTCCAAGCTACTCATCGGTGACAATGCCCGCTTCTTCGGCGGCATGGGCCAACCCGGTACGTGCCATTCCGTCCAGGACCTAGGCGAAACGAAACGGCGACTGGACCGGTGACTTAACAGACCGATGTTTGGATCCGTTGTTCCCGATTGGGAGTTCCTCTTCAACTAGTAGCGTCCTTGCTCCTAGTAGCGATGCCAGGAGCCCCTAGTAGCGTCCTTGCTCCTAGTAGCGATGCCCTTTGCTCCTAGTAGCTTCTTGTTACTACTAGGAAGTTCCTCTTCAACTGATGTTGTTTTCATTTCTACCTCAAAGGTCAGCATGATGCTCACAAAGTTGTCGGTGGGATGATCTCTCAAAAGACTCGAATTCAACAGCCCTCCGACAAAAAGTACCAGTACTGTATCTCTTGACTCTTGATCCGTTTTGACCCATTTTCCGTTTTAGACCTTCTTGGTCCATTCTTTGCACACGGACGCACCTGCTCGCAGAGCCGCCGGCGCTTGGCCCAGCAGCCCAAAGCCTCCCGCAAGGCGAAGGCCAGGTGCCCAGGCGGCGGCCTCGGCCGAAGAAACCCAGAACAAGTGGAAAGCCATCTTGTTACTGCCAAGGCACCTTGTTACTAGTAGCGATGCACTGGTTACTAGTAGCTTCTTGTTACTGGTAGCGATGCACTGGTTACTAGTAGCTTCTTGTTACTGGTAGCGATGCACTGGTTACTAGTAGCTTCTTGTTACTGGTAGCGATGCACTGGTTACTAGTAGCTTCTTGTTACTGGTAGCGATGCACTGGTTGCTAGTAGCTTCTTGTTATTAGTAACAATGCACTTGCTCCTAGTAGGGATGCTATAAGCGCTGAAACATAATTACTCTTCTTTGAGTGATCCCCACCATTGCATTATAAATACTCTGCTGGTGACCGACGGCTATATTGCTTCAACCTCAAGAAAGTGTCTATTTTGCTTGTATACTGGCATATGTTATGGCATTGTGTGTGTTGCATACATTCAGGCATTCTATCTTGCATATGTTCTGGCATTCTATGCGGTATATATTCTGGCATTCTATCTGGCAAACACTTTGGCATTCTATGTGGCAAATATGTCGGCATTCCATCTGGCATCTTCTGGGATTCTTTCTAACATTTTTCCTGGCACATGTTCTGGCAATCTATCTCGCACAAACTGTTGCATTTTATGTGGCATATGTTCTGACATTTGTTCTATTGTACTTTGACATTCTTTCTGGCATGAATTCTGACAGTCTTTCCTGATTTTTTTGTATCTGGTTCAGGCCCGGTGGTGCCTGCGGTCTAGTGCTCGAGGAGGTCCGGCTGTGCCCACTTCGACCGATCGATCGAGGCCCGTTGGTGCCCGCGGCGGTCTGGTGTTTGTGGAGGAGGAGGAGGAGAAGGGGGAGGAGAGGACAGCTCTTATAAAATTCCTTTCAGTTCGATGCAGTTGGGGAATAAGACCTACTCTTTTTGGAGTCAAGTCCAGATTTTCTTGGGCGCTATCCTGTGAACACGCTTTGCTCCACCAATCATGCGACAGGTGTTTGCTCTGTTAATCGTTTGCGTTCTTGGCTGCCGGACCCTTCAGGCTTCAGACGTTCCAAGGATGCTTGAAGCTCCTTGCCAGCAAAACTCACAGCGGCTGTAAACTTTTCAGAAGCACGGCTCACCGCTGAAAGTGGAACAGCCTGAGATGAACACTCGAAGCCAGGTCAGCTTACCAAGAGGTTGAACCTATACAAACCTCCATCATCCGAACGTCTTTGAGGGTTTGCTCTATTCCTCAAAACGGCCTGCATCGAAATCACTCATGGATAAGAGACGCTACTCTACTACATGTTGCACTGGGAAGTTGCGTCTTCTCTGGGAGATCACAACAAAATGATGAACAATGAACTGAAATTAGACCCCAAACGGGTTCAGCTTCTTTTTGCGTCAACTCCTTGAATTCCAATATTGGTGGTAACGTCGGCAAATATATTCCTAAGCCCTCCAGCTGCTTGGGAACGGCATGCAAGCAAATGTTTAAGAACAGTAATACCTGATTCCCGGGTCACATGTGCGAAAACGACAGGATATATGTCATGAGAAAATCCGAGGATCATATCAAACTCGAAACGCTGTATCACTGTATCACTCTTGCAGTCACAGCCACACGAAAACATACCTCGCAAAGAGGTCGAGAGGAAAGCGGCATGGCCAAGCAGGGTATTGTAAGGCCACGACAAGGCGGTGATAAAGGGCCGACAACGCGGAACAGACCCGGACTAGGGCCTGGACAAAGCCCTCACAAGGCGGAGAAGAAAGGCTCACGGCAACCGGCCCATGGCGCGGCCAAGCAGGACACACAAACGCGGACAAGGCCTGGACAAGGTTGGGTCGGAACCAGGAGGACACAGGGTAGGATGAGGACAAGAGGAGGACACAGGGACATCAAGAGGACAGCGAGGGCAAGACGAGGACAACAGGAAACAAAACCTGCACACTGACTTCAGGGGTGGCCAGAGACTGTGGCCAGTCTTTTTCAGAAGGAAGCACGGCCATGGAGGACAGCAGGAGGACATGAGCTTCGGGTAAGAGGACAACAGGTGGACAACACTCGGACACAGGGTTCGTAAACTGTTTGGGGGAAAAACTCTCAAGTTTTCCAAACAGCTATCACCGCGCTCGTGTTCCGTCCTCGTTCTCGCACCGCGCCACCTCCGCCTCGGCTCGATGCTGGTTGGCCGTCTGCCTGCGCTGCAGCTTCTGTCGGGCCTGGTGACAGAGGAGCCAACGAAGCAACCCCTGCATTTCAATAGGAGAACCAAAGCATACCAAAGTTCTCTTGAAGCACAAAGTCGTTCCCAGCTGACCATGACCCCAAGACGAACATCCCAGACTACTTCCCAAGCACTGGAGCTTCGGAAGTGTGCAATCAAAACATTATTACATGAATCAACACAACGGTGGAGGGGCAGTCCCCTCCACGACTGTCTCCAGCACTCAGAGCGTGCAAAAGGACTTGGAGTTTCTCACAGTTGTTTGGTCTTGAAGTCCACTCTGTCCGCTGAGCACAAGTGTTTTCTCCTGCACCAGTGGTCAGCATCCAGCACCCTTACGCTGAACGAGCACAATAAACACAAATAGGTGCAAATATAACAAGGTCTGCACCAGCCTGCTTCCAGTCCGACACAATTTGCCTACATTGAGTGAGAGCAACGAGCGCGAAAAACACTTCAATCACAAGTGCACTCCAAGCTATCAGGGTCACATCGGGCCAAAAAGACTTCCCTACCACCGAGACTGAACTTGATCCCGCCACCCACAGAAGCAGATCATGTACAAACGAGCATCTTATTATTCAGAAGATAAACCATCTCTTGTGATGCTTACGTGTGTGCAGGTGTGCCGGTATATGATCACAATACTTCGCTTGATCTGCCTTTGGGATTGGCTAGGATCCTACGCAAAACAATGAGCCGGATTGCGGGTGAATCCATGTACGCCGAAAATCAATGCATTTACAGTATATTATATATATATACATATACGCATGCAGTATATAGTAACATAGTACATAGTTGCACGTGTTTTGAAAGAAGAAAAGCTCTCTTGTAGCCACAGTCCTTTTGGGGCCCGCAATCCCTGCTCATTGATTTCCCTCAAAACACGTCCCTTAGCAGCCTTAGCACAAGTGTGCCAGCTTGCCCTTGTGCAGGCAGTCGGATGGGTGAGTCAAGGCTCTCAAGTTCTTCTATGGCGCACTCTCAGCCTCATAAGTAATGTTGTCATGATCCTGACCAAGTTATAATTACTGGAGAAGTGCTCCAAACATTCCCTTGAAATGCCTTTAGTGAGAACTCTCAAAAACAGCAAAAAGGCCCAGTTTGGGTCTCAAAGCTGCCCTCCCCTCCGGAGATTGAATTCAACACAAGGTCTACTGGAATTGAAACTCGCTCAACATGGAGTTTGGCTCTGAAGTCTCCCTGGTTTCACCACGCTGGGTGCTCCTGGGCTCATGAATGTCGACTTTCTCTGCTGGCTGTATCTTTAGAGGAGTAGGACTCGCCCTTGTGGGCATGGTCTTCCCCCACAAGGATCTGGCCAAGGCAACCATTGCATCGCTCTGATTGAGCCGTATGAAGGCATAACCTTTCGACTTGTTCCGAGGCCCGACTGGCATCTGGATGTTGAAGTCTGAAGTCACCTCAGGGCGACTCGGACACCATCCACTTGGGCGCTAGCATACGTGTATACTTCTTGAGATGCCCCTTACCTTAAAGTTGTATGTTTGTCTATATATGCATACATTCCTTCAAAAAAGGGTCCGCTGGATGGCTGGATTCGCAAGTTCTCTTTCCTGTTAAAAGGGACACCTTTGCCCCTACCCTTCCCACCTCTCGTACAAGGCTCACCACCTCAGCCTCCCGACACCTCCCAGGAAGATTCTTGATCATCAAGACCTTGGTCTTCTCCCAGAGCCTTGAACTTGGATGCAGGCCTAGCTCCTCGCTCCATAACTCCCGATCGGCAGCCTCGTTAAAGTGGCCAGATGCACCAGACTCAGCAGGTCTTCCTTCCTGGATCCCTGACTGCTCCGCCTCTCCTCCTCCCTGGTCCACCTCCGAGCCGGAAGCGGAGGAAGTCCGAGAGTTGCGACCCGGCCAGAACCTGCTGTTCGGCAGGTCCGCTGGCTCAGGGCCCGGCTTGGGCACGTCTCCGAGCCATCTGCTCATTTACCTCAAGTAACTCTTGATCCCTCACCATCTTTGACCCAAAGGCTGCGGAAAACATGGCACAATGCCTCACGATTACATTCATATCCAATATACACTACGTAAGTATCACTACACCAAATATGATAGAGTCAGAGAAGACTTGCAACCCTGACCGCTTTGGTGCCTTTCTGGTTGAAGCCTCGTGAGGTGGTCCAGGGCATGTATTCCGTCTCTTCTATGGGTGGTTGGTACTGTCTCAATAATCTCAGTATCAAAAGAAAACAGTCACTTCAAGCATTTAGATAGAAGCTTGTCCTCCAAAAAAAGTAAAACTTGCACAAGTTGCACGCTTTCTGGGCAGGCATCTTACAAACTGCCCTTGAAAACGGTGTGCCACAACGAGACGAGACCAAGAGCTGGGATATCCAGAGAGGGCGATGGTATGAAGATTTAGCAGAAGATGTTTGCTAGCATGATTGTTACGTTCTGTTACTAGTTACGGTTATGTTGACTTATGTTGACCCAAGGCTGACTTACCACTTACCTCAGTCCGCTTGATTCCCACGCAATGGAAGGTGTTTTCCGGGCACCTCAGCCACAGCCATCTCCAAATCCCGGTGCAGCCGTGCCTGGATGGATCCGGGTACCGTTTTGCCCACGACTCCGCTGGGATTCAGTCCGGTGGCACAATCGCAAGATAGCCAATCACAGAACTGTAGCGGGGGGGCTAGGAAAGGCCTTTTGGTCCATCTTCACACCATGCGACTGAACCACAAAGTGCCAATGGCTTGTTTGGCTTATTGAATATTGTCTTGCTCTCCAAATTGGATTATCGTGTTTTATATTAAAAATCGCTCTTTGTGATCAAATATATCATTTCCTTGTTCTGGCAGTCTTTTCAGGCAGTCCTGTGCATAGAGCTCCGCTGCCGCTTGGCGCCTCTCCGACTCCTCCTCCACGGCCGCCGCCGCAGCCACAGGCAAGGGCGCTAGGGTCGCCAAGCGCGGGAGATCTTGCCTCTCGAGATGTTCGTTGGTGGGTCGTTCGATTGTGGGGAGGCTGGTTTCTTTTCCACCTCCATGTGGAAAATGCTGAAGGGAGGTGACAGTCTTCAGCCCGCGTTCCCTAAATGGGTGTCCAGCAAGTTGTATGTCATTGACAGAGAATTCGGGACCGGGTGCACGAAACGACACGAGCAGAGCGAATGTCTTCTCGGACACGAAATGCTCCTGAAGTTGCACTGGCCTTGGAGGTTCTGAAGGCTGTTCCAGATCATCTTTCTGGAAAGCCACGGTTTCTTCCTGCCAAAGCACATGTCCCAAATGGCATGAACCAGCAGGAACCAACAGGAGTGGAATGCAAGTGGTCAATGGCCCAACTTCAAAACGAGAAACATGCTATATACTCCTTCCAAAACTGCAAACCTCCGAGAATTCGTGATCCCTCCCACCTTCAGCTCCCGCGCCCGCACACGGTGCTGTTCGGCCATGGCCCAGCGGCGCTGCGCCAGCTGCAGCTCATGCTGCGCATGTTGGGCCGCCGAGTTCGCCAACTCCTGGGCCAAGAGCCCCAGACCTCGGCGCACAGGGAAGGACCTTGGGCTGGAGCGCAGGATGAAGTTCTCACCAATCAGATACGGTGCGCGATTCCTGGCCCTTTGGTTGCAATAGGTTGCAATGGCCCCAATCCAAACTACTCATTTCTCAAGTCCCAACAAGTGACGTAACTGGCATCAAAGCAAGTTGCCGGCTGGTCAAGTATCCCAGAACTGAGTTAAATACCTTTACTTGGAGGGCGAGCTCCTCAGAACTGGAAGTCGGGTCGTCCACGGAAACAGGCATCACGGAAACAGACCCCGTTTCAGCTGAGCTGCGCTGCTGCTCCCTTTGCGCCCTTTGGAGTTCTTGCTCTGCTCGCTCATAGTGAAGCTGGCGGCCCAAGGCACCCGGGGGCACTGCCGATGACGACTGGTCTGGTGGTTTCCTTGGATGTCCCTACTTGAGTGCGTACCAACAAAATGCTTCCTTAGTGGCCCACCCATCACACGTGTCGCTTTGCAACAGCATCCCACGCCAAAGGTTTATGTATACAATGTATACAGTACAAACAGCAATTCTATGTCTTTGCCTTTGGACTCCATGTGAGAAGGGCCTTTTGAATATTCCCTGTTCGCCCTCTTTGAACTTGCCCAAAAGATCCAAAAAGGCTCCTCGAAAGCGCCTTCTACTTGAAACGCGCCTCCCGCTTTTTCTCCAAATCCATGTCGTGCAGGCGATGGATTGCTTCACCACGACAGAGTTTCACCAACTCTTTGCATGAAACAAGTTTGCACACTCTTTCCAACTCGCAGCTCCCACCAGCTTTGGGTGGAGCTCATGGCACATCCAGCTCCACACCCGCCGCTCGGATCTCAGAAAGGCCTCGGTCGGTTTGAGCCACTGCTTCATGTTGCCAGTCAACGAGTGATTTCACCCAGCATGAAACATGAAACTCCTTCCCAAGGCCACCGAAGTGAGGGGCCTCCCAGCAAGACTGGCCGTTGATGGGATTGCCGGAGAGAAGCAGGCTTCGCCCTCAAGGCCTTTCTTCAGCCCCCATTAATGGGATCCCCACTTTGCTCCCAGAGCTTCTCCGCAAGCTGTGGGTCTTGATGATCCTGAGTTCAGCAATGCGAGATGTGGGAAGGCGTGCTCCAAAGTCTGTCATGAAATAGTGACTATGACTAAAAGGACTTATTTAAAAAAAAACATAGAAAAAGAAGTCCATCCGGCCTCCACCTCTGGGAAAAGTCCACTATTTCAATAGGAACGCGTCCATCGATTTACTATTTCAATGTTGAAGAGATGTTTCAGACATGTCGCCTGCGAGGGCTGTGACTCCACGAGCCGCTCGCGGGCTGGGAATGGGCTCCAGAACTCCAGTAGGACCGATCGATCAGCACCCTTATAGCCATTCCTTGGTCAAGAGCCCCTAGTAGCGTCCTTTGCTCCTAGTAGCGATGCCCTTTGCTCCTAGTAGCATCCTCTACCCCCTTGTAGCCATTCCTTGGTCGACCAAGGTCCGGTGACTTGAGGATCACGACGTGAGTACACTCGCGTGTACACTGTAGTGAGTCATGCGACGCGAGAATCTGCGAGAGACTCCTTTGGAACCAATCTGGCTTGAAAGACTCTGAAAATGAGTAACTCATTTGTCATGAACTAGGAGCAAGGACGCTACTAGGGGTTCCTGGCCTTACTACTAGGAACAAGAAGCTACTAGGGGCTCCTGGCCATACTACTAGGAGCAAGGACGCTACTAGGGGCCATGTAGATTCTGAAATGCAAAAACTACCTTCTCCCCATCCCTGCAGTTGAGAGGCCAGTACCTGTGCCCAAGGTGAAAAAACTCTTCAGTCTTCAGGACTTCAAATAGACCACAAACGGTCTGACGGACTTTAGGTTTAGATTTCACCCGGTCCTTGGCTTGCAAGGCGCGGCAGCATCTGGTGAGGTGCAAGCCGTCACCACGGTGCCTGCACGCGAGGTGCCCGGAGGATCAAATACCCTCGGTCTTGACCTTCTTCCAAAAGTGTCTTTCTTTGAGTCTGCAATGTGACCGACACGTAAAAATCAAAGAGACAAGCTGCTAGCAGCCGTAGCTGGGGTGATGAGAATCGTAGAGAAGATCTGACACGGCCACAAGCGGACGGGCAATCTTCTAAACATTGCGATGAAACTTGCTAAACCCAGTCCAAGTCTGTCTCCGAGCTCTTGCAGATTGGATGCAAGACTCCAACAAGTTTCAAAACACGTTGTTTGGCTGTTGGCTGCATTGACCGTATACCCCACCTTTTGTTGCCAACCCGGAAAGCCGCGCCAAATGTCGGAGCCCACACCCCCGGGATTCACACAATGGAAGGAGACCTCCTGCGGCAACTTGGCCGATGAGTTTGCGAAAATGAAGCGCTGCCAAGAGTATTGGAAAATAAAACGTTGGAGGTTGGGGAGAGCAAATTTTAGGGATACTTGGTCTGGGCCCCCTGATTTCTGGTTGTAGTCAAATAGGCAAATGGTTACCACACTTGGGTAAAGGGTCAAGCTCCTCACCATATCTGGCATGCAGAGCATAGCTGGAGACTATCCTCAAGAAATCAGGCAGCTGGCTGTTTGATATCTGGTCCATGAAACGCTCCATCGGGTCAGTTTTGCTGGTCAGTTCTTCATCTGAAATGATCCGGTTGCATCATGGTTCGGTGAAAGCATCCGGTGTCTACCTCGGGCCATGGCTGGGCAAGCTTGGACAGCCCGTACAGCCTTGGGCGGAAGTGGCGTTCCATTTCAAGCAGTGTCATGGTCACGAGTGTGCGAGTGGCACACCAGTCAATTAAAAGCAGTAAGGGCCGCTCAAAAGTACTTTATCAGAAACCCCTCATATAACGTTCAAGTTTGTCTTCGTCCCTGAAAAGCTTGGGTGGCGCCCCACGTCTCACCGTTCTTTAACACCTCGGTTCGCTCGACCAACGGATCGTGTGTCGCCCAGCCACGAGGCATAGGGCTCTCGAACCGCTCGGGTCCGGTCGAAGTCCTCCAGGCTTGCAGAGCGGTGGACCACTGAGGAGACGCTGATCCTGGCAACCCGGATCCATGTGAATCCACTGAGAGCAGGGATTCACCCAAACATTCCTGAGTGCCCTGGTGGCCTGGTACAACCTCAAATAGCCATGGACTTGTCAATTCAAGTCTCTCACAATAACCTTGGAAGCCACCCGGAGGTTCTTATCGTGAGGCAATACCCCCCAAATATCCAAATGGCATTGAAGGACAATAGGCATGGGCATGCTTTGGTTTCTTTCGACATGGCCCCAAGCCACCAAAATTAAGGGCGGCTGGAACATGCCTGTCGACTGGGCTGTACAACAGTCCTGTTGTACGGCCCAGTTTGACTATCCAATTGCTCTTTGAGTCTCAAGTTTGTCAAACACCGCCCGCAGGACTGATCCACACTCACCAAGATTGAGAGAAAGAGCCATCCTTCCAACCAGTGCAGCCAAGTTGCACCCGACCACGTGCTCGACGCAGCAGAGGTAGCAGCAATAAGGTCAGCAGGAAATGAGACCTTGTTTGCTCTCAGGAACCATTGAGCCCAATTAGCGTCGCGGCTGGAATGAAGAAGCAGCTATTGTCAACATATATAGCTGGCTTTTCAATGACACATTTAAGTGTAAAAACTGCCTCATTGCTGTGAAGTCCTTCACAAGGCCATACCTCCTACCTCCCCTGCTGCAGAACTCCTTCTTCAACGCCTCGACTTTTCAACATCGATGTTCCCTTCCACCTTCAGGCTCGAACTGAAGGTGAACCCGAAACAGGAAGGAACCCACAAACGTCTTAGATTCTATTCTAATTTCAGCCATATACCCAGCCACAAATCATCATGAGGAGCCCACAAATAGTTCGTCTGGTAGAGGATATCGACCTTGTCCTCCGACAGCTGCTCGGAAGGCTCCTCACAGGAAAGGAGCCAAAAGAGCTGACCAAAAGAATTTCACTATCACACCCATACATCATATTCAGAGTTGACCTCATCACCCACTGCAAAAAAGGAGATACCAGATACTCCTCCACTCAAACCCTTTCACAGCTACCTCGACGCGACCTCGGCTTGGCCCCGGCCCCGTCTTCCAGAGTGGTGGCGAACCGGGAGCACCCTTCGCTCCATCCGCTCCTGCTTGGCCGATGCGGAGTTCATCCCCGCGTTACCTAAGATCATGCTGCCACACGTCCAGGGGACAAATTGCAAGGAACACGTGTTGCTGAGTCAGGCTGAAACGCACCGTTCTTGCCATATGTTGCCATCCCACGCTCACCTGGAACGTGTTTCTGATCGATATATGATAGGATTTGTCCTTTTCATTAAGAGATTTCTACCGGAAAGATCCTCCAGCGAATCAAGTCAACGCATGCAGCACCCCGCCCCCCACCCTCAGCCGCGACACAAACCAGCAGATCAAGGCGTTGCGTCTGCAGATCTGAGGCGAAGGTGCGGACGGAAGCAAAGGAGGCCAAGTCCAACCTGGAGTGGCTTGGACTATGACTATGTGTGCTAATTACGCACGAGATGAGAGGGGAATATGTTGGGATGGGTTGGTGGATACCATGAAGTACATGGAGTGATCTATGAAATTGCATTGAAATACGTGAATTTGAGTCAGTGAGCCGGGGTCACATCGCCAGCTATACGACCCAACAAGATTGCGGCTACTGTCCACCCCAACAATATGCTTTCTTGGTTTGGGCTTCCTGGACTTTTATGTGACCGGACCAACACAAGGTGGCCGCCGTTGATGTCACGGGGTCGTTGGAGATGTCAAAGCAAAGCCCACCATCTTACTATATAATTAGCGGTGAGTTCTGCGTTTTCGTAAGAAACAAAGGTTTCGAATGCCTAAGAGCGAAGTTCCCCACGTCATTTGCTGGTAGTCCCAGTTCTCAGCCAGTGAAACCCCTCCTTTGAAGCATCCATCTCGCTGGTTGGACGGCAAATTTACATCGTACCAAATCACAACTCTCAACGGCTTCGACGCGTCTGGATGTGGGTTAAAATGTTGTACCCCCCTCGCACGCCCCAAAGAAAAGCGAATCGTCTATCACAGATGATCGCATACATTTTGGACGGACAACATAGATGCGTGCGAACCACACACTCTTCATCGCTAGTAGGTTGGCGGCCATCACAAGTATGTTGGAGGCCATCGCTATTAGTAGCAAGGACGCTAGTAGGTTGGAGATGCGCGTCCCACGTAGTCCACGTCTTTGCCTCCTCAACTCAGCACTGCCGCGCTGCTGGGCCGCCGCCAGCGCTTCAGCGCCCCGGTCGAGGCTGCGGCAGGCAAGGATCACGTGGAAGCCGCGGGAAGCCAAGTCTTCTGGGCCAAAGCTTTTGGAGACAAAACATGGGAACAAAACGCGGGTCAAAGCTGGTCAAAGATTGTGGAAGACCAAGCTTAGACCATCCTTCACCTGTTCGTTTCACCTATTCCAGCAATGAAACCAAAAGTAAAAAAACAAGGACAATCTTAGAATGTAATAATAATAATTAGCCCAGCTGGAGACCCCAATAGCAAGATACAAACCGGGACAAAAAGAAAAATCTGGAAACAGCTGCTGTTTTCAACACATCGACCATCTCTTCCTTGGACACCATCATCACATAACCGGGACACCATCACAAAATGACCAGGGCACCATCAAAACATGACCAGGACACCATCACAACAGGACCGGGACACCATCAAAACATGACCGGGACACCATCACAACATGACCGGGACACCATCAAAACATGACCGGGACACCATCAAAACAGGACCGGGACACCATCACAACATGATTGGGTCACAATCAACACATGATCGGGACACCATCAAAACATGACCGGGACACCAGCATCACATGACCCGGACGCCATCAAAACATGACGGGGACACCATCCGCCCACCAGCTCTGACGGTGACCCGACGGCGCCCGTCCGCCTATTTGTTTTGCAAGACCCCATAGCATGGCTATTGGGGAATAACAATAGTAATAATAGTAACAAAAATCGTAATAGTATATAATAATATGTATATAACAATAATAAGTTATGCTTGAGTATTCTTATGTGTTCTTTGTTTGTTTCAGACACATCGGTTCCTGCCACATGAAAGCCAATGCCGGTGTTCGCGCCCGTGACGATCGCCAAAGGCTTCGAGCCTGGACAGGCCGTCTCAAAGCAGATGGCGTCCCAGACTCCGAGTTCCAAGTTGATGCTTTTTTTGCTGTTTAACAAGAAGCTATTAGTAACAAGTGCATCGCTACTAAGTAACAAGTGCCGTACTAGTAGTAACAGGAAGCTATTAGTAACAAGTGCACATTAATCTTTTTAGCCTGGTGGGGGGGGTAGGCCGCTAGAAAAGGTAGAAGAGGTAGCTATAGTAGCTATTGAGTAGGACGCTTCTAGGTGAGGGAAGCTCCCCCCTCACCTGAGGGCGGGGGAGCTTCCTTAAAGAAGCGCCCACACGAATGATTGGTTCCCAGATTGTTTGGGAAACTTAACTCTTTGGAACCCACTCAACGGGCCTTGAACTGCAGCATCACTGTGGGACATGAAGCACCAACAGGCGAAGAGGCAGTATGTCAGCATTCAGCAAGCCTTGTTGGTTTCCAAACATTCCAGATCCTGAAACGATGTGGACAAAGTGAGCTGTCTTTTTGCCAGATAGTATGTATCTCAGAGCTAGCTGGAGGAGCTTTGTGTGCTGTCAAGGCAGCTGTAAATCTTGTTTGCTCTTGCTGCAAGAGAGTCTGAGCCACAACGAGCGCACAACGGATTAGAAGCTCCGAGGGTTAGAAATAGACAGCTACGTGCCAGCGCACCAAGACTCTAGCCAAACATCAACCTTCTAAGCAAAAGAGAAAGAAACACTGTTGTTTCGAATCAATTTCTTCGATTCAGACCATCAAAAAGCATGCTAGTCTGGACCGGGCCAGTCAGTATTTTGATCCCTACACATCTCAATCCCCGCCTCAGCTGAGCCCACCAGGCATCTCGCTCGCAAGCGGGCCTTTGGACGAAATCAGCAAAGTTCAGACGAACACTGGGAGAACACTGGGAGCCTGAGAGCTGCTCTCTTCGAGATCACCAAAGACTTTCAAGGACTGAAGGCTACACTGGCATCGTCAGTGTGCAGGTTTCTTGATTACTCAAACATACTGGAACCATCTCTATCAGGAGTCGGTAGACTTCGATAGCCGTGGACATGTTCAAGATGGTTCAAGACTAAGACTCTGGAGACTTTCAGAAAACCTAATCTCATCCCGACAACTCAACCCACCGCTGCCTCTGCTGTTTCTGCCCGCCGCGAGTCACTCAGGAGCATCTGTCCACCAGGGCCGCGTGTGGCCAGCACACCCTCAGAGGCACGAGCCTGGATCGAGCCATTGTGACCAAGCATGTGGAAAGAAGAACAAGAAAAATGAAAAAAGAAATCCAGCGAGCTTAACTGCCAAGTGCAAGATGCCGAGCCCACGATCCTTGTAAAACGCGGGCCAGCCTGTGCAGCCATGCTCCAGAGATTACAAGCCACGTTTGACCTCAAACCACGTGCTGTTGAACAGCTATGTGAAAGGCGTGTACTTTCCCTTGCCGATCCAAGTGTTCGTCACCTTGCTACAATGTTCCCGGGCAAAGTACAGCTAGACAAGATCGGCGCAGGATGCCACAGGACGTTGCCACACCCCTCACAGTGACAGCACCAAGCAGCTCAGGTCCTTCGGGCACGTTCTCCGCAGCACGGACGAGCGCCTCCCCAGCCACTGTCCTTGGCTTCGCACCAAGCCAGCGACTAAATATGAAGCAAAATCTGTAGTCGTAGCCTATGTTCATACATGTTGATACATGTTCATACAGTTCAAACATCAAAAGCCTGTTGACTGCGGGATATCCACCCAAGTTCGGACATACCAATGGGAAACATAGGTTTGGGAGCCATAATGGACAACATGATCGCATCATGTGGACTCTAGGTGGTAGGAATAAGCATGATTGATCTCACAAAGCCTGGAAGCATCTGGAAGCCAAGCCAGCAAGCAAGCCAGCTTGCTTGGATCAACCCTTCCGAAAACTCCTCCACTACATCCCAAACCTTTGGGAGAAGGAACAAAGTGCGGGTCAATTTGGATCATGTGTGTGTGTGTGTCTCTCCCGCTTATGAAATGAAGAAAGAAGAGAATGTCTGCTGCTTTGAATTTTGTTACTCCCGCATACTTCTTTAAACATTCCCTTTCAATATCTCCAAGCACCCTTTGCTCCACCAAATGCCACCCCAGCGGCTGTTGCCCCACGCTCAGCTTGGCCTCCTCCACCTGCAGCTCCGCCTCCAAAGCTGCCTGGGAGGCCCGGCGCGCCGACGCCAAGGCCTCGTCGCGGATGAGGCGGTCGAGACATCACCGACCAAGTCTCGAGTCGGAAGGTTCCTGCAGGATGGTGAGATCTTTGCATGCTGATACTTCAGATACCTCAGGATCAAGAGCAAAAAAGACCGGATGATGCCTTACGTGAACTACCCTGCTCGGAAGACTCTTGCCAAGTGACTGTCAACGTCTTACATGTTAACACACCTGGACTATCTTGCGAGTGTAACATGGTCCAACTTTTCCCTACAAGAGTATGAATCATGCTGATGTTGGTGAGAGGATCTATGGTTGTCTGCTCAGAATGTGTGTGTGTACCCCTTGCAATCACACAAATCTAGTCGGATTGTGTTTTGGTAACGTTTCATTGCAGGGGGCAGTAGCCCACTCATGAGTAGTCTACTGCCAACGAAGCTGCTTGGCCCCTGTCGACCCGTTGAATGGGGGTTTGTCGATCGTATCCCGTGCCCGGATACAGAGCAGCTCGCAGCGAGCGTAGGTGGCCTAGGCCAAAGTTACTTGCCAAGATTTGATGAATTATTGAACTCCAGGCCAGCTCTATGCCATTACGTGACCGCAGCAGTCCAAGCTGGCTTAACGCCTCCACGTGGTCAGAGCGACCGTAGTACTTTTAGGGTCCGTTGGGACCCGTCTCCACCTCAGGTGCACAGCACGTACATTTTCAACGAGGCTTGCGTAGGTTTTCTAATGAGGTTTTGCTTCATCGGTATTTGTCCCCTCCATTTGGTTTCCCTTTTCATCCTTTCCCCTTCGCGTACTTTTGTTTTCCTCTTTTCTTTCATGTCCTCCTGTCTTCATGTTTTGTCATCTCATCCTTTCTTTTGTTTGCGCACACATCAGCCCTGGCCTTAGTGTGTACGCGCACATCTACATACACTATTACACACAGGTTTCAGGTCGCCCAGGTCTTGACAATGAGGTGGGTTTCATCGGTTGTCCATGTGCACTTGGTTTCTCTTTCATTGCAACCACACACACCTTTGTCCCGTCTCGTCCCCCTTTTCATGTCTTCATCCTTTTGTCTTTGCTGCGAGCGAGCACACTTTGCCTCCCCTCGGGGAGGCGTGTGTGTGTGTGTACCCCTTCGAATCACACAAACCCAGTCGGATTGTGTTTTGGTACACTTCCCTATTTTAACGTAGAACCTGAGAACTCAAAAGTGTGCACTAACACCACCTCAAACCACTATGTTCTGCCTGCCAGGTTAGTGTAAGTGATCTGACAGGGGTGCCACCAACTACTAACATGGAAGGTGCACAAAGGTGGCCATCTACAAGAATCACACTAACATGGAAGGCAAGAAATCAATTCAGCCAGCCCTTACACATGCCGCTCATGCAAGAAACGCACACTAACATGGAAGCTGGGCAAAACTCCCTCCCAGTGCACAAGAAACTTCATGAAACACATGCTAACATGGAAGCTAGGCAAGAACAAATCCAGCACATCCCAGCAAATCCATCGTTTTTTCCAACGCCTGGCCAAACGCGAATTGCTTGATTACTCTACAGTACCTAATCGAATTCTTGGATTGCTGTTTGCAAGACAGAGAAGCGCTCTTGAGCTTCCTGATTGTTGGGGTGATCTTTTTCTCTCTCTCTCTCTCCTTTTCTTTCTCTCTTCTCCTTCTCTCTTTCCTTCTCCCGGTGCTGGCAAGCTTTGACCCAAAACAAGCAGCACAGCTTCCTTGTTAACAAGTCCACCGGCATGAACCGAGATCAACCACAATCCTCACAGATTCCATGTTAACATTAAATCATACATTTCTTTAGCCTTCCACTAACATGGAAGCTGCTAGTTCTTCCTTTCCCAACAATGTTCCACTAACATGGACCTCGTGGAATGGCTCCTGCTCCTACCAGTCTTGACTAACATAGCACCTGAGAATGCAAATCCTAAAGTTACACTAACATGGATGGTAAAAAATCTTTTTTGATCCTCAGCTTCTAGGTTAAAATAGCGAAGAGTAACGTTTCATTGCAGGGGGCAGTAGCCCACTCATGAGTCTACTGCCAACGAAGCTGCTCACGAGTTGGGAGGATATCGGAGCTGATCATTCCGACGTACCTGCTTGGTTGCGTCAACAAGCTTTTACGTTTGTTCGCCCTCTTCAGGATTTGGGTACCCAGGTTGGCGTGTGGCAAACCGCAACCAAATCAGTACGCATTTCTGTAAGTGTGTGACTGAGTGTGCGTGTGTGTGTGTGGATGCGTACATATACGTACACAAGCAAAAGCAAACTGGCAAGTACGGTACAGAGCGGCAATGAACCAACATATGAAAGCGCCCCAGTGCCGCTTCCATGTGCTTTGTAGTTCTGGGTCAAAACCCTGGACCATTCCAAAACACCTCAATGTTCCTCCCCCCGAAACAAATCGAGAAACAACCGTCAACCCAACAGAGTTTCTTCCCAACCCTGTGAGGAAAACATCTAAAGACATCACGTCGTCGTCATAGGTCATACGTCGTCCCGTCGTCCTGTGACCCCAAGCCGCACACCGTCTCCCCTTGGCCTCTTGGGCTTCCTCAAGTTGCTTGGTTGACCTCTCCCAACTAAGTTTGTTGGATGTCTTGTGGCAAGCATCCAATGATGAGTCTAATGCAAAAAATGATGTGGCACTGCTGACGCCATTCCATCAAATGCTAAAGGAGCTGTTCGAACTCCCAGCCTATCCACTGCCTGATGATCTGTTGCAGCCTGAACGGGGCTGGAGCTTCAAGATAGGGTCCAGAACATGCTTTGCCTGTCTCCCGTTCTTGCTTGATCCAGTTTGATCTACTTGTCCTGTCTATCTGAGAATTGGGGAGGTGTCTTATTTCAATCACGGTCATATCCAGAGTTGTCGCAAAACTTGCTGATGCACGGCCGTTTCGATCGGCCTCTTCCCGCACCACCTCTGCCTGATGCACGGAACTCTCTCGGCTTGTTACACATTCTCAGACTGTTGCACAGACACACAGACACACAGACACACAGACACACAGACACACAGACAGACAGACAGACAGACCGACAGACCGACAGACCGACAGACCGACAGACCGACAGACCGACAGACCGACAGACCGACAGACCGAC